ATTATAATAAAGTATACGTTGTATTTAATATATACATTAAATTATTGAATAGATATTAATAAATAATATTATAATATTGAATAATCTAATATTATAATATTGTAATATTGTAATATTGTGATATTATAATATTGTATTATTGTAATATTGTAATATTATAATATTGAATATTGTAATATTGTAATATTATAATATTGAATATTGTAATATTGTAATATTATAATATTAAATATTGTAATATTATAATATTATAATATTGAATATTATAATATTGTAATATTATAATATTAAATATTGTAATATTATAATATTGAATATTCTAATATTGTAATATTGTAATATTATAATAGTGAATATTGTAATATTGTAATATTATAATATTGAATATTGTAATATTGTAATATTATAATATTGAATATTGTAATATTGTAATATTATAATATTGTATTATTGTAATATTGTAATATTGAATATTGTAATATTGTAATATTGTAATATTATAATATTGAATATTGTAATATTGTAATATTATAATATTGTAATATTGTAATATTATAATATTGTATTATTGTAATACTGTAATATTATAATATTGTATTATTGTAATATTGTAATATTGTAGTATTATAATATTATTTATTAATACGTATTCAATAACATTATGAACATATTAAATGCAACATATATTTAATAATATATATATATGATCTTGATGATAAAAATGATCTTGAAAATTTCGAAACCCATAAAAAATTGATACGCCATATTATGTCTCGGTTGGAACCATGCAACTTTTGTATTGAACAATTTTTCGTTAAACGCACAATATAAAAGTCATCTCAGATGTGCAAGTTATGTGAATCACCCTGTATATATATATATATATATATGAAATCTGGAGGAAAACGCGTATCGAAACGGAAACGATTAATGGACGGATGCTGGCTTTTGTCTCGATGAAATTGTCAAGTCGATTATTATCGAGCAAGTCGTTCGCTCAGTTCATTTTATTGCAGCGTATTATTGTTTGTTGTTGTTCCGCTCGTAGATTACACATGTGTGTCGTTTATTGTGCAACGTTTATCGTTTCTAATAAAGTTTCACGTTTAATACGTGCATTGATGAACGTATTGCTTTGATCGTTTATCGTTCAACGTTCGCGTAAGTTCTTCGTTTAATGTTTGAACCGGCGAACGCACTGTGTGTTTGCTGTTTAATAATTATTGCATGGTCTTCACGTTCGGTGTTTGTATTGTTGATAAAAATTTATCGTTTATGAATTTTTGTTTTATTCTTTTTTTCCTTTTCTTTTTCGTGTTCTTTGCCAATTAGAATTATGAATATGTAATAATTTTCGTGTGTTGTATGATTCGCAATTTGACCAACTCATTTACAACCTCATTCAAGTAGCTCAACTAGTTCATTTAAGTAGCTTATGTAATAAGTTTAATATTTTCAAGTATTAATAGATAATGATAATATTCATTATTATATTGATTAGTTCAATTATATATTCGTTATTATAATGAATATTTTATTATATAATATTATAATATTATTTATATTATTATTATAATAATATTATAATATTATTTATTAATATGTATTCATGAATACATTAAATACAACATATATTTAATAATGTATTTATTAATTGATAAATACAGGTATATTAATTTTTTATGATATATTAATATACATTATTATATATTCAAGTATATTATAAAATAATATATTTAAATAACAGTCAATACAATGTTCAAGTATTCGACGCTAATGAGAAAGTTTTACTATTAGCAAAGACATTAGATGTCAGACAATAATTGTTTAATAATTTCCACAAATTGGTGCTTGAAACTGTCCGAACCTTGAGATTACATTACACATAGAGAATTCTATATACGTCCTTGCACTCTTGGGATTTACAGTCCTGCAGCGGTAATTTGGGCACTCTGACACTTCAATTCAATGTAGAATTCAAAATGGGTTATTAATACGACCGTCACAAATATATATTTTATTAAAAAATGCTGTATAACTGTAGTTTTTTTGTACTAACAATATTCAAATATGCGTGTATTAACAATAAGTGTTTTATATATACGTGTATATTAACATTTTGTTTCATGTTATGAAATGTACAAAAAAAAAAAAAAGAAAAACTGGAGTTGATCATTTTGGCTGCGAAGAGAAACATTTCATGCATACAAAATGACAAACGAATTTTTGAACTTACAAATTGCCATGCAGCAATAACGAAATTCATAAAATTCCAATAAAATTTACAGAACAGTTTTAATTTTTCTTCACAACAAGAATCAGCTAGATAAAGAATTTTTAATACCTCGCGATATCGTTCCATATCAAAATTATTTATTAATCTTTAGTTTCTCATTCTTCGCTTGCCAAATGACAAACAATTTCTGAATTTACTAATTGCTACTAGACATTCGTCTATACAACAATATTCAGCTAAGAAAACATAATTTTTAACATTCTAATATCTCTTTCACACCAAATCTCCCATCAATCGACAAAATTTCCTTTAATTTTAGATTTTCACTTTTCACTCGTCAAATGACAAAAAATTCCCAAATTTAATAATTACGTAATATCTATCGAAATTCGTCAGCATTCGTCAATTTTCGACGAGATTCACACGACAGTTCCGATCTTTCTTTAACCTGAACCTAATCCAAAAAAAAAATCTAATTTTTCAATATTCTAAAAGAATTTCTAAGAAATTTAAAATTCTAAAGGAATTTTAAAGTAATCTGAAATTCTAAAAAAATTTTAAAGGAATGTAAAATTCCGAAGGAGCAGAAATTGCTCCGTTTGCATCGAATTACAACCGAATTTCGTTCGATTTTACTTTGCAGAGATGCGAACGAGGATACCGCCGCGACGTATCGCTTGTTCTGCATCGTGAAATTCGCGCCCGTCTGGAAACGAACAACAGCCGAAACGCGTGAAACATCGCCGACGTAGTTTTATGTCCGGTTGTTTGCCGGACAACAGCGACAAAGAGCCAACGGGACTGCGAATAATTCGCGGATTGGACTTATTTGCCGGGTAAAATAAGCGTTGTTCGACGAAACGGAATTTCCACGAGAGGGTGGGAATATCTGTCGAACTGGCTGTGTTTCTCACGCTGCTGGAAGATTAAACGATCGCCACGATGCAACGTTCTTCTGCCAGCGTCGCCGTATTTTTGCCGGCCATCGCGAAAGAACCACCGCAAACTGAATCCAACGGATCGTTTCCAACCTTCTCGGATTATGGTGGCTTGCTTCGCCTCGGCGTTTTCTGTTTTCTTTTCTCCTTTTTTCCTGCGCTCACCGCGATCAAAAACGAAAGTCGCTGTTTAATTGACTCACTGATCAATTTCTGTGTAGCTTGTTTGTTTAAAGAAGTTGGACGGTTAGTTGAAATGTTTTGTGAAAAATATTTAAACATTTCTCACGTTACGCGTACATACATCACAGTGTTCGACAGGACAAAATTTAATTTTTATTCGACGAAGAAAAAGTAAGAATGAAGAATGGAGTTGGTGTTTTAGTCGCCACTATTGAATAAATGTACTACACAATCGGTGTACAATAAGTTTGATCGAATAAAAATTTGTTTGACTAAGAATCCATTCGAGCAAGTCCATCTATCCGGATAAAGATTTATTCGAGTGAGAATCTCTTTATTACATTGTGCCGTAATTATAAATTTATTAACGTAAATTGACGATATTTAGTATCTAACTTACAAAATAACCATCCAAGTATATATTACATAATATATAAATAATGCTGGCGTACCAAGTTTTTACCAAGTGGATGTTACATTTAGATGCAAAAGTATATATATTACAATGCTTAATGATTTAAACATAACAGAGAACATGAAATTGCATTGAAACTGAACAATATGATATAATATGAAAACACAGACAACTATCATAAATTTGTAGCATTAAGAAATTATCGCGAGCTTCCAATTGCCTCGCGTTAAATAGTATTTCGTATTTACTAAAATAATAGTGTTGCCAAATTAAATAGATGTGGCACGTGCATTTTATAAACAGCTTAATTGTTCGCTTTAACGACGTTAATGAGAGTTTGTAATAGATTGATGTGGTGGAACAAAAAGCAAACTCGTGACGAGTGAAAAATGGTGCATTAAAAAATAACACTGATAAAACGAAGTTGATTAAACATCTCGTTAAATTCGTGCAACTAATTACAAGTACATTCACTTTTTTTAATTTAGTTTGTTTAGTTTAATGAAAACACATTATTTGCTGGAAATGTGTATGCACATCAATCAAACATAAGTCTCTCATTTCAAATAACATATTTTATATATAAATAGGATATTACTTGTTAAATAATCAGACACTACTGAAATTCGAGAAGAAATCATAAGACTGAATTATAAAAAATATAAAAAGAGTACATGTATTACAATTATAAAGTCGTACTGTTATAATTAATATAAAAAGTGAAATAAAGTAAATGTAAATATAATTAATATAAAAATTAAATAAAATATATATATGTAATATTTATATTTACTTTAATTTTTTACATTAATTATAACAGTACGACTTTATAATTGTAGTACATGTATTAGATATATATATATATATAAATTAATATAAAAAGAATACAATAATAATAATTTATTTATATATAAATAAATTAATATAAAAAGAGTACAATTATAATAATTTATTTATATATAAATTTATATATATATAAATAAATTAATATAAAAAGTGTACAATTATAATAAATGTGAATTGTATGAACTGTAATTATGAGAGAAAGTGAAACAAGGTATTTTCCAATGCTGAAGTGAAAATTCCTTGCAAAGAATGAAACTATTCAGCGAAAGATGAATTTTAAATTAGGTTACTCCGGTAACATCGTAAGGCTTAGATCGTAAAAGTACGTGTGCATTTTGCCTTTCTGCACGTTGAATGTAAAATTTTTGCGATTCTATTTCAGAGCAGCATCTGGTTTGATATTCTTCCTGGAGATTACCTGGGCCATCACTCTATTCGTACAGATCTGCGTCAGGTACGTATAAAATGTATCCTCGTATCGTTGTACGTTGTGCGTTTTAAATTATATTTAAAAAGTTTCGAATCTTTCGAATTCGCGAATTTTAAATCCTAAGAAGGTGAGATTGAAAAATCTTTTGCGAAAAAGAAAGAAAAATATTTTCAACTTGGTCTTTTTAAATTATCATCGTCGAAATATGAATTACGACTAAAGTAAAAATACGTGCAATGTTTCCAATGTTTTAATATGGAAAAATTTTTCAGCTCCAAAGAAGAATGATTAAAATGAAAAATTCTCAATCTTTCAGTCGATATTATATGATATGAGTAATTAATTCCGATATTATATCTTCGATATTTTCCTCTGTAGAGTCACAAAATTGAAACAAACTTCCCAAAAACTGAAATAATCGCAGCTGTGTATCTGAATTTCCGCGAATCGTTTTCGCTCGAAAGAATCGGAAAAAGTGGAAAAATCAGGGCGATTTGATACCCTCCGATTTTCAACGTACGTACTGTAATTCAAACGAAACCCCTTTTTCCCTCCCTCCTTCCCCTGCTTCATAAGAATTCTATAGTTTCGTTCAAACAAATCACACGTTATCCCGGTCCACCCTATCTCCCTTTTCGCCCCTTTCTCTCTCTCTCTCTCTCTCTCTCTCTCTTTCATTGTCAGTCGAGAATGCTTCAGCCGAATCTCATTGATTTTCTAATACCCGTTCGAGAGATTCCAATAAACGCAAAAACGTCGACGAAATCGTGCAAACTATCTGCAAACGAGAATACGAAGATACGAAGAAAAAGTAGTCGGAGAGAAATAGAAAAAAAAGGGAGAGAGAGAGAGAGAGAGAGGGAGAGGGAGGGATGGAAAGCAGGCTGGTAATTACAGAGTCCGAACTTTGTCCCAATTTCCTTGACGTTCGATCGCGAGTTTCCTCGATGGTGTAAAGACTGGCCGAGGGAGTCGAACTCGGCTGGACCAGGGGAATATGCAAGAACGCGATAGAGCCTTCGAGGATCTCGAGGCCACGGAAAGTCTGCTCTCGTCGATGGCAAAAAGAAAAAAAAAGAAAAAAAATATATATATATATATATAGAGCGAATGGTCGAAAGGAGAAGGCCAAAGGAGAAGAGGTGATTTTAAAGTCGCTAATAAAAGTATTTATATATCCAGTTAAAAGTTCCAAGAAATATAAATATAAATAATCTAAAGTATTTATATAAAAGTATTTATAAGAAATATAAATAAATAATCTAAAGTATTTATATATCCAGTTAAAAGTTTCAAGAAATATAAATAAATAATCTTTTATAATATTCTTAATCAAAACTTGAAACTAATTCTGTTTCACCTTCGATTAAATCAAAAGGAATACGATTTAAATCAATGAATAATCTAATAGTAAATATAAAATATAAGGGACATAATGAAATAAGAAATTTTAGATTTATTTGATGAAAAGTTTATTGTCTTAAAAATTGATTTAAAATCTTCTACTGTTATTATTGAAATAAATAAAATTAAAAATATTAAAGTGAAATTATTTGAGAAATTAAATGTATATTATTCCTAATATTGAATAATTATTTATTTATCGGTATTTATGTTATGGATATAAAAATATAAGCAAAACTCATATAATTTTTAAATATAATATTTAAATTTTAATTTTATGTATATATTTTGTACGAGTGTTACTTATTTCTAAGTAATTATCTTAAGTTAATTTTTTACCTTTCCCAGTATCAAATAGTATTATTGTAAATTATTATGATAATCTATATTAATTTATTTAAAAAATTCAAAGTATTTAATTTAATTTAATTTTGTTATGTTCTTTCTACGAATTGTTGCATCTTTAAATTCATGGCATTTGACGCATGAAAATACCATTCAAATTCAACCATTGTAAAATGTCAATTAGAGGAAAATTTGAGGGTGGTCTAATCATGTTTAATCATCCCGCGCAATCTAATAACGCCTAAATCCAGCGAGTATTATGCAAATTAATACAATACCGGTAACATTCATATTCATCAAATATCTATAATAGTAATGATTAATTGTTATTTCAATTAAATGTCTGCTAAATTTCATTTTCAGTTAATGCTGCTACCGTGAAATTATAGAAATATCACGTGAAATTGACGGTTCCATCCATCCTAATTAGACGTATATAATCATAATTTATCGCTCGTTTGTTAATTTACGGGTTTTATTCTGTACAATTTACATATAATTTTGCGTTTTTATTTTATTTCGTAGGGAACGCGAAATACAAATAGCATTCAACTCGTGCCGGTGAAATTCAATTAGTTGAAAAAGAGGTGAGTCTACTGATATTCACGTGACCCGATTCGATCATGTATTAAACAATGTGTCTCGTGAATATCAAAATTTCATGAATTATTTCGTACGTATCGAAATTTAGTTGAACGTTACTAACACTTCTCATACTTTTTACTAACGTATTACGTATGTACCTAACAAAATTACTGACCTATCACATTGTGTATGCAATTTCGTGGTAACAAATTTTTTCCAATATTTTTTGTAACAAAAAGAAGAGAGAATTTCATTAAAAATATTGAAAATTTCCTATGATGATCCATTTAAAAAGTTGAACCAATGAAATTTGCAATTGTTTGCAAATCTGTTTATTAAAAAAAAAAGTGTTTGATTCCGAGTCTCTTTAAAATGAATTCCAAGAGAAAAATTTTTATTCAGGAAATTTTTAAGTCACGCACGTTGTAAATTTATTACTGTATGACGTTTGTAACTCACGTAGTCAAGCGTGTACAATTACTATCAGCGGCATTAAATCTACTTCAGTTTCAAGATAATCGCACATTTATTTGTATTATTTTTTACGACGTCTCATTGCGCGCAGATAACGATATGACGTTCCTATATTTCACGTCTGAAAAAACATGTCACTCCGGCAAAAATTTCAGTACAAAATTGTCGAAAAAATATCGTCAATTTCATGTGGAAATAAACTCTGTTAATACATGATTAAATTTCTCAAATTCACTTTAATTAATTAAAACAGAAACAGTTCACTGAAAAAAAAAAAAAGAAAAAAAGAAGAGAAGTTGCATCGTTTTCGTTCGATTCGATAAACAAACTTCGTACGATTAAAACGTTTTAAATATATCTCTGTCAGTCGATAAATCACTTGCCAGCGATTGTAAATTTTCAGCTTGAAAATTACGAATTATTTAGCCACGCGAAAAATATTACAAACGTCAGGTCGTAATTAATTTGGAAGAAAGCAAGTAACTTACGCACAATCAATCACGAATCAATTTTGAGATTAATTTCATTTAAATTTGACGAACATATTATAGCAAATCTACATTGAATGTTCAATTTAATTAATTCGAATTAAACAGGTATATTGATATTACAACACATCCCAGTCAATAATGTACTCAAATATTTAGGGGAAGGAGGGACAAGATGAGACCACCTCCCACATATTATATTGCATATTCTATATCCCAGGTTCACACACATATTCCATATTCCATATTCCATATCGCTACATTCCAAATGCTACATCCGATTATCCGTATAGAATATTCTACGTCTCACATTCTATACTTTACAACCCACATTGCATATTTCATGTCTCAAATCTTACATTCCACATTTTATATCTTGTGTTTCATGTTCTATATTCCACATTCCACATTCCATGTACCATATTAAATATTCCATATCCTATTATCCTGTCGCAATGTTTCATTTCACACCTTATATTCCATATCTTGTATTTTATACTTCATACTTCATGTTTCAGATTCTATATCCTATTATCCTTACCAAATAGTCTATATTCCAAATAATGGGTTATATTCGACATCCAATGCATAATATTTCACATTCCATATCCCATTATCTTGTCTGCATTCTACATTCCATTTATTCCACATTCTATATCTCATATTTTATGTCCCATGTATTTTGTATCATTTTATATTCTATATTTTATGTCTCATATTTTATATCTCATACTCCATATTTCACATTCCATATATCCTGTTATTCCACATTCTGCATGCCACAGTCTGGTAATTCCACTCTTTTCAATATAATTCAGAATATGAGGACGAACTCATCAAACAATTTCCCACAAAGATAATTTGTGAGCACATTTGAAATTTCCTACTATAAACAAAATAAATTTCATAATCCAGAATATAATCTGCCCAATAAGTATAAGTATTTAATTTGTAGATTAGCACAAAATTTACTTTCATAAAATGAATATTATAGCCCACAAATTCACCTTCAAATTTTTTTTCCATCACACAGAACGATACTTCAATAATATATTTCTACATAAATGAGTTTCTACACAAATAAAGAAAAATATTATTTCCAATTTCAAATTTATTAACTTGCAAATCAACTCTCGATGAACATCTGTAAATTACATACGTTATATAAAAATTTACATTACACGACATCATACTGTTCATGAAATTTCTATGCTACTTATAAAAATAGTATAAACTGTAAAGCCAATCTTCGTCGCATGAAAAGCCCATAATACAAATTTCCACGTAAACAATTCTATCCTGCGTTATTTTCACATTCTCACTCAAATACTTATTCAAATTCCTGTACTTTGGCAAACTATCATGCACGCTACCATCCTGGAATGAAGTTGCACCACTCAGACTTCCTCTAATAGAAGCTGCCGAGCAACGCTTTATTACATCACACTTTATTGCCTCCATAAATCTAATTTGCAAGGACGCTGTTTCTTTTTTTTCCTTTTTTTTTTTCTTTTGTCAAGAACGACAACACGAAGCCTCGATAAAACCGCGCACATATTTTGTTACAGAAATGACGAATCTCTTTGTTCGTGCTGCTGGTCGACAGTGCTGGCACTAACCAGGGGTTGGCGGAGGGCATTGTTTTATCTACCACTGTCCTGTACTTTGGCATGGAAGCCGCACAGCCTTTTGTTGTCCTACGTCGCCGGTAAACTTGGCAAACCGAATGTTTAAATATTTCCTGTATCACGCCTCGACGCATCTCCAATCCCTTTAATCGTCCAAAACGGCGCGCATTGGCGCCGCTCCCCTCGTTCTCTCTCTTTATAATCTCCCGTTATTTTGTAATGTTATTTTAGATATTCTGTAAGACCAAACCAGGCCATATTTATATCTAGACTCTTGTGAATTTGACTTTTTGTTTAAATGGATTGTAAATTATAAATTTAAATTATTATAAATTATTATATAATATTATTATATAATTATATAGTATAATTATTATATGTTATATAATTATATAATTATTATAATAATAATAATAATTACAAATTATAAATTATAATAATTATTATTATAAGTTATTATAAATCATAAATTATAAATTTTTCTATTAACAGGCTTTGCGATTGAATTATAAATCATAAATTCTGGCTTTCGATAGATCTCGAGGAAACTTATCAAGGGAGTAGGGAAATTCGCAAGTTATTGAAAAATATTTTTTCGTATGCAAATTGCAAAACTGGAAATTTCTACGCAAATTCTTACTTTCTCGAACATTGAACTCACGCAGAGATTCATTTCACTTGCTTTGTGTATGCTTGAATATATTCTACATTGGACATTTTACGTATTATTTTTCCGTATTATCTGCGCATTCTTTTACCCCTGAATTCCCTGCAAATGCATAAAAATTCACAATCTAGTAACTATCGAATTCTTTTCCGTATCAATGTATTTTTAAGCCAAAATATTGCGAAATAACGCGCTACAAAGAACTGCAAAACTGAAACGATTCAAAATAAACAATTCCTATTGATTTACAAGCGGAAACATATCATCTGGAATATGTGCTATGGGGGTACGTAAAAATGATATTGATAATGGCGGGAGACACCAAAGAGAAAGGACGAACTTAAAATAAAATAAAAACGCGAAAACAAAGTTATTGTGTATATATTTTGATTTACAAACGGAGACTCGTGCGAAAGTTTTTTTTAGAAATGAATGGGAATTTATGAGAGGAAAGCTTGAATCAAAGGATTAGAAACCGCTGATCTAAAATAAAACGTGCAATCATTTTAGCAATTATTTGTCACTTGTTCAATTATCGATTGTAAACGCTTGAAGCGAATTTTCTTAACTACTGTCATTTCATGTCGAAGATTTTCGCAAAATTTTCGAGATTACCGACTTACGAAGTAAAGTCTCGTATCGCGATCAAAGTAAACGAGAAGTTCAACAGCGAAATTGAGATAGAGAGAGAGAGAGAGAGAGGATTTGAGATTAAGTAATAACGTCGGCAACACGGCTCAAATGAAAGAAATATTCGCCGTTATATTTTCTCTTCTGTTTCTTTTTTTACATCCGCAGCCGGACTTTTGGCAGTGCTATCCTTACTGCATATTGCGACCAGCGCTTTGGACGGCCGTGGCCCCTGCCAGATGAGCAATGCCACGGATTCGGTTGGCGAGAGCCTCCTGAACACCAGACCCGAGAATTACGATCGTTTCGAAGAAGTTCTGGTAAGTGAACTTCGAGTTAGGTAAAAATGTTCACCCTTTCCTCTGCATCAATAGCTCAACATTCTCAAAATCTTGGAAAACCGTGGAAATGTAATTTCATATCAGTTTATTTAGATATTTAGTTATTTAGTTATTTATATTTCAAGCGTTTAGTTATTTAGTTATTTAGTTTATTTAGTTATTTAGTTTATTTAGTTATTTAGTTTATTTAGTTATTTAGTTATTTAGTTTATTTAGTTATTTAGTTATTTAGTTATTTAGTTTATTTAGTTTATTTAGTTATTTAGTTTATTTAGTTTAGTTATTTATTAGCTTGTTTATTAGTTTATTTTATTATTATTAGTTTATATACTTTATTAATTATTTATTAGTTTATTTATTAGTTTATTTATTTTAATATATTTTATTAATTATTTATTAGTTTGTTTATTAGTTTATTTTATTAGTTATTTATTAGTTTAGTTATTAGTTATTTATTAGTTTATTTTATTAGTTATTTATTAGTTTATTTTATTATTTTATTAGTTATTATTTAGCTATTTTATTTTATTATTTTATTAGTCATTATTTAGTTATTTTATTATTTTAGTAGTTATTATTTTATTTTATTATTTTATTAGTTATTATTTAGCTATTTTATTTTATTATTTTATTAGTTATTATTTAGCTATTTTATTTTATTATTTTATTAGTTATTATTTAGTTATTTTATTAGTTAGCGGACGTCGATAATTTTGGCAATGTTCGCTAAATTTCGTACGAATTATCAGACATTTGAAAATGCAAAGCACTTGAACGAGACTCGATAAAAATTTTAAGTAAACGAGAAGAAACTGCACTTTCGAGATTGCGATGAAATGCGGAGCACTTCGGTCATTTCTATGAGACTGAATGAAGATTTGGGACAAATTTTAAATAAACGGGAAGGAACTGTATTTTTGAGATTAAAGTAGATTTAATTTGTTATTTTATTTATTACTGTCAGTTAATCGTTTAGTTCTTAAGAAAGACAAACGTGTCGGTTATGGAAGCATTTGTTACGTACTCTGGTAATTGTCCATTCTACCATTTTACATTTTTATTTTAATACAGAAGTATTCGTACTTTTTCGAACTTGCTCGAAATAAATTCTTATTAATTAAAGCCAACTTGTCTCTAAGCTATTAATAAATAATATATTATAAATTAAAGCTATTGTTTCTGATGATTGTAATTTGTTCCAATGAGTACATAAATCAATTAATTATTTGTTTACAACAAATGAATCTATCGTAATTGTCCATTTTACTAGTTTATATTTTTATATTAATATAGACACAGTAGAGAAGTATTCGTACCTTTTTGCACTTGCTCGAAATAAATCTTATTAATTGAAGCTAATTTGTCTCTAATAATTGTGATTTGTTCCAATGAATACGTAAGAGTAGAAAAATTCTTTTCATTAATTTCTCGTAGAATTATATCCTACCAAAAAAAGAAAAAAAAACATATATAAATTTACGTAACACAAAGAAAGTAAAATAAATGAATCTTTCATTTTAAGACGAAAAAAGATATTCTACGTACATAATATATACATATGTGATACGTGTGATATAATATATAAAGATATTTCAAAATATATAATATATAATATATAAAGATATTTCAAAATATATAATATATAATATATNAAAGATATTTCAATATATATAATATATAATATATAAAGATATTTCAATATATATAATATATAATATATAAAGATATTTCAAAATAAGTCTAGAGATACTTTGTATTTCATTATTAAAATACGTTAGTCGCGCTCTGAAAGTCGAAAAGAAACAGTCTCAAATAACAAGACGAGCAATCCCGGAATTCCGCTCAACAGGTTAAAATAACGTAGTCGAACGACATGCTAAACGCTCCGACACTCTACATACCCGTATAAATCTTGACAAGGACCTCCACTCTAATTCAACATCGTCTGCCCATTCTCTACGTTCGCGGCATTCCGATATTTTAAAGAATTCCAAGCACCGAAAGCTCTCGAAAGTTCGAAAGTCTCCTTACGTGTTTGCATACGTATATATACATATTTCCCTCTTTTTCCCCCGTCTCACTTTTTCCAACTTGTTCGCTTCTTATCCGCCGGATCCGAAGTTTTCGACGTTTCTCATAGCCGTGTCGAATATCTGGAACATACCCGCCGATATGATTTCACGTTATTGAAAATAGTTTTGGAATTTCTTTTTTTTTTTTTTTTTGGCTAATCTTTCAGATTTATCCCTTGAAATGCACGACTCGTGTTTCGTGTCAATCGTTCTGTTGGATTCCGTGTAATGGAGTCAATTTATGTTTACAATTTAGAAGAGTTTATTCCCTTACAGTCGTGGTCGTGTATGAAATAGAATGATATACAATGTTTAACGCTCTTGAATATGATGTAGAACAATTTAGAATGTTTGATGCTTTTAATGATAAAGAATGTTTATAATTATTTAAAATGTTTGGTGCTTTTAATGATATAGAGTGTCTCTATAATGATTTAGAATGTTTTATGCTCTTAATGATATAGAATGTCTTTATAATGATTTAGAATGTTTGATGCTCTTAATGATACAGAATGTCTCTATAATGATTTAAAATGTAATTTCATGCTCTTAATGATACAGAATGTCTCTATAATGATTTAGAATGTGATTTCATGCTCTTAATGATACAGAATGTCTC